GAGTTCTAGTGAAGAAGAGGCTAATCAAGGAAAGGGGATTTGTGAATTGAGGATTCAACACGCCGAATACTTGAGTTGAAGAAGTTATTGCGTAGAGGCATTGGGAAGTGCTTTGGTACACTACTGCTGATGTAGTTGTCCTTGTAGTGAAATAATTTTATGCAAATATTCATGGGATCAACCAAGGAATGATCTACATGCGAGGCAGGTTATACATGCGTGGCAGGTTAGTGCAGTTCACTCCTTTGAGAATCAACAAAATGTTTATGATCGAGAACGTGCCTCTCTGCTGCTATGCAAATTTAACCCCTACAAGAGACAACATGGATGAACTCTACCGTTACCTTACGGATGACCCGAGATGATGGGAATGTGAGCTTTTCTTCATCATTGTTAAATCCTACTTCAAAGGCATGACATTTCTTCATTTCCTCGAAATTACTGCCTATAATGAAAATTAGTAAGGTCACTAAGGAGATTGCTATCCTGAATTATTGTATTCAAACAGGAAAACCTATTGATATTGGAGTTATATTTGTAAAATCAGTTTTGGGTTTGATCGTGAATGGATCTTCAACTGTATTGGGACATCCATCTACTATTTTCCAACTCTACAGTCAATCGCAAGTACCTTATGACAGTTGGGAGAAAGTACTGCCGCCTTGGAAGCCGATGAATCCCGAAGTCTACTGTAGTTGCATTGGAATGGGAGATGAAAATGATATGAATGTACTAATGGATCAAGGATCCCAAAATTTGTCACCTATTCAGTCATACTACAACTCGAGTGCACTTTCAAAGAGAATCAAGAAGATAGAGAAAGAGTTGCATAATCTTATGCATGAATTGAGAATATTTCTGAAATACTGTATCACCTAGATTGGAGACTCAATGAACATTTTAAACATACAAGGCGTATTGAAGATGGCCCGGTACATATTTTTAAGAAGCATGCATGGATTGAGGAGGAAAATTCAACTGATGAATTTCCATTTAGGCCCTTCTACAATCTGTATGTGCACTACTAGTTTATGTGAGATATCTAGGAGGACAAGAGTGAAGAAGATGTTTGAAGTTGAGTTAAGCACGAAACATTTTGTCTAGTATTATTTGTTTTAGTTTGTTATGTTGGATTACCTTTATTTTCTATTGTTGCACTATCTATGTTTATTGCTTTGAAGTTTGATGTTTATATTTTAGTGTTTAGGATGTTGGGTTTCTTTAAAACACTGAATTTGTTATGTGTTGGCTTGAAAAATGTTAGTTTGTAATAACGCAGATTTCATATATAAATACGAGTTTTGTGTTGTTTGTGAAAATTTGGTGTTGGTTTGATGTTTAATTATGCTTAGAAAGTATTATTTGAGTCAAATAGCGATTGACATAAAGCGATACGGAGCATATTTTCATAAAAACTGAGATCTGGCAAAAATACGCTTTTGCGCACGATGCGCCAACCTACAGAGCCTTGGCGCATGATGCACCAGATTTGGCACATGGTGCACCAAAGGTCCGAACACTTCATATTACCTAAGAAAAACTACGAAATCGCAAGGAAAACCTCCATTTTTGTTGCTTGGTCCTCTTTCACCTCCAACCTTTAGTCTAGGGCATCACATTGCGAGCTAAGGAGAAGGATTTAGAGGCCAAAACTCATAAATTTCATCTTCTCTTGGTAAGAGTTTCACTTTAACTTAGAAATTTTTTATTTTCACCATGGATTTTGGGAGATCCGAAAATGGCATTTTTGATGAAAATGGTTGAACAAAACTCATGGCGAAAAGTTTCTTACCAAATAATCTTGCTTAGGGAGTTAGATATGCAATTTAGTAATTTATTTGGAATTTATTTAGATTTTCATAGAATCTCTGATGGCTCCCTGCACAAAAAGAGGAAGAACGTCGGGAAAATTTGATGCCCAAAAGTTCGTTAATTTCAAGGTCCAACACTATTACAATACACAATATGAGACCCAGAGATTGATCCAGGAAAGGGTGTTTGCAAACCTGAGAGGTGAGGTTGAAAGGTTGATTCGTGCCAGAAATTGGGAGCGATTTTGTTACTTCACTGCTGTAGCGATCGTCCCGATGATTCTGGAGTTCTGCTACTTCACTGCTGTAGCGATCGTCCCGATGGTTCTGGAGTTCTATGCCAACATAAGGTTCATTGTGGGAGATCATATTCTGGTGAGAGGTACGTAAGTTGAGTTTACCTCTAAAATGATTAATGTGTTATATCGGCTGAGGACTGTCTTCCATGATGAATATGCCGCTTTTGTTATCACTGATTCATCACTAGACGAAGTCATTGCCTTTCTAACTGATGAAAGACTAACTAATGAAAGAGTGGAGTGGAAGATAAAGAATAACAAAATAGTTAAATTTCCCGCTTCCATGTTGATGATTTAGTTCAAAGTATGAAATCACTTCATCTCTGCCAAACTTTTACCTACAAACCATCTTGCTGATGTTACAAAGTATCGAGTTGTGTTGAACTATTGCATTCAAAACATGAAGGAAATAGACGTTGGTCACGCTCAAAGTGTTGCTGATAGTTCTACTGCTGGAGGTTTGGGATATCCTGCCCTAATTTTCACTCTATGTGAATAATCAGGAGTTGAATTCCATAGAAATGAAGAGAGATTACAACCTCAGAATCCGATTGGGAGGCACATGATTTGAAGAGTAGAAGCGTTTGTTGAGTCTAGAAGTGGAAGAAGGGATATGCCCTCTACATTTGTTGTAGGGACATCTACTTCTAGTTCCACATCATTGGAATGTATTATGGACCATCTCATGATTTAACAATATGATAATATATTGACTCAGTTGAGAGAGATAAAAGCAAGGAATGCATATAATGATGAATATCAGTAGAGGAGAATTCATCATGATATAGATTTTCAAAATGCTATGGTTAGACACTTCATGGGTGAACCTAATGTGAACTTTCCTGCTTGCCCCAACTTTGTTCCTTATGCTCCCATTCATGATAAAGATGAAGAGGTAAGAGAAGAAGAAGAAGAAGATAGTTTAGTTTAAGTTTGATTTGATATTATGTGTTGTTTGTATATTTGTTTGTACTGTGTTGCACTTTTATTTGAAACTTGTTGGATTTAAGATTTTTATGTTGTGTCGTGGACCTGTAATTTCTAATAGTAATTGTATACTTTTTACTTTTCAGTTTTTGTTTTAGTATTTTCAATTTGAGCTGGTTGAATGTGTAGTATTTTCAGTTTTTGTTTTTCAATTTTAGTATTTCTGTTTTAATTCCCAGCAAGTTCTTTAGAATATATTCAGTTTTAGTATTTCCGTTTTAAAGCCTATATGTAGTTTTACAGTTAGTA